GGGGGGGGGGGGGGGGCCTCTAGAAAATTTTTTGGGCCCCCCCCGGGGGCCCCCCAAAATTTGGGGATAAAAAAAGGGGGGGGGGGGGGACGAGGGCCCTTTACGGAGATTTTGTTTTTTTGGGGCAGGGGGGGCCCCCCCGGGCCCTTCCCCCGTGAAATTTTTGTGGGAAAAATCGCCCCTGTTACTCCTTTTTTGGGGGGAATTCGCTTTCTGGGTTTTTGCCCAGGTTTTTTTTGGGGGGGGTTCCCCCTTCCCTTTTTCCCTTCCTTCCCCCCCCCCCCCCCCCCTCCCCGTGCGCTATTTCCCCTTTGACAAAAACGACGTTTGTTGCTGTACACTGGCGGGCTACTTTTCTAGAGAAGCATGTCTTTGCGGGGCTGCCCCCATCCTCCCCCTCTCTTCTTTCTTATTTCCCCTTTGACAAAAACGACGTGCGTTGCTAGGGCTACGGCTGCCAAGAGCCCGTCCAAGGCCGTGTCAGTGCCCCTTCATGCGTGCGATTTCCCGCCCGGCGCGTGCGTCAAGACGAAGGGGTTGGGGCCGGCGCTGGTGACCAAGTTCAGGCCGGAAGACGGGATCTATCAGGTGGAGGTGGCTTGTTCGTGTCGGAGTCGCACGCCGAAATAGTTGTCTTAGCAGGCGGCCACGCGTTAGATCAGGCCGAAAGGAAGGGGGCGACTATCTATGAAGCAGGTGGCAATGCATTTTACAGGTCAGGGTGATGGAAGACGGGGTCGTCTTGTGGGGGGGCTATGATATGCGTACCAGGGCGAGAGAGTGTGGGGAGGGCTAGGGTTGCAAGGGCCTAGGTCAATGGGACGGGGCCATCACGTAGCAAGAAAAGAGATTGGGCAGCGTTGTAGAGTCTTGTTATGACTCATTGTGGCCGACGCAGTGGCCTCCCCGGAGATGACCTCGAACCAAGGCGTTCTCCCATGCAGTGCCTCTTTGCTTTGTTTACCTTGTTCTGAACCCTTCGCACCTCTGTCCGGCGTTCCCTCACCCCCCCCCCCCGACGACACCGCGATGCAGGTTTCCCTGTTATCATGGCGTTCGCAGAGCGGCCGTCTTGCCTCCGCCTTCCTCAGTCGTGCCGCCATCGTCTCCAGCGTGGCCTTGCCCGAAGCCCCCGTCAGGACGCCCATGGGCCTTGGTAGGGTCAAGTTCGTCCGAGAGGACGGAGTCGTGGTTGTCGCTGCCGCGGGAGAGGGTGGCTCGAAGGACGCGGCTTCCGGCGATAGCGCCAGGTGCGGGAGTTTGTACAGGCGGGCTAGCCGCTTGGTAGCTTGGAGCTGTTTGAGACGGGAGCGGGGTCTTGAAACGGCCGTGGTTTTGTTGTCTCGGCAACATTCAGCGTTACAGTAGCAGCAGGTGCGAAGCGTGCCGATGTTGAGGCCGGGACGTTAATGTCGGCGCGACGACGTTGGTCTTCGCGGTGTGTGTTTGGTCGACCGACCGGCGTGCTCAAGCTCGCGTTTGTTCTGTTGAGCCAAGGCTGTTCTAATCGGCCAGGCCGAGCACAAGGATAGTATGCCGCCTTTGTGAGACGCAGGACATTGGCGTCTCGGGCTCTTGCTTTTTGAGAGAAGCTGTGTCCGGCACGAGAGCGTGAAAACGAAACCCCGTTCCGACCAGCCGATTCACTACTGTATCCAGTCGTCGCAGCAGTTACCGCAGGGTATCACGTGGTGGCTTGAGAAGACTTTCCACTGCACTAGGCGTACGGAAACCAGTCTTGTTTATTCTTGATTTGCTCGTCGCCCATTGTTGTTGTTGTTGTCGTCGTCTTTGTTGATGTTGTGCTTGTCTTCATATTATCGCGTCTGTGCCCAGTACCTTCCAACACCCGCAACTGTCCAGCTGAATCAGACGCCTCTTTTCTCATGTTGTTCGCTCAGATCCCCAAGCGGGGGAACTGCCATGATGTTCCTGCAGCTCTCTGCTATCCTCGGTCCCGCGAAGGCCACTCTCGGGGATAGGGTGGGCACGTCCCTGGGCGTGGGTGTTCTCCGTGCGTACCGTGCTGCGTCAGACACGTACGTCATCGACCTAGGTGAGACAGTGATATGGTTTACTCCCTCCATGGGGACGGTATTTTACTCGTTTGGCGTTTCGTTAAGTTTTTCCAGTGCCTTCCGTCGAGGCGTGTTTTGGGGTTTTGCGCCCGGGGTGTTGGTTCTGCCTCGCTGTCGTCTTGCGCGGCCGTCACGTTTTGCGTTGCACCTCGTTGCTGGCAACACATGGATGTACGAGACCGCGCATGAACAACACTGGTGCTGCGAAAGGCGGCGAAAGGCGAAAAGGTGGTCGAAAGCCCAAACTGCATCTTACGGCTTTGTACAGCCGCTTGTGGCGCGACCAGCCCTAACGCGTTCCGGCGTTAACTATGACGCTCGAATCCCGCCAACCACCCACCACTGTGTCTCAATAACATAAGGCAGCTTCCTTTTTGTGTTTTGTAGTCCCTCCGACAACCTCCCCTGCCCGAATTCACTCCGTTCACGCATAGCTGACGTGCAACCCTACCCGTTTCAACATTGCCTCCGTTTTCCCCGTGGTGGCAGGATGGGGGCTGCTCCATAGCCCGCACGGTAGTGCTCTGAAAGAGCAGAGACGGACGGAGGAATCATCGCCCTTGAACGCCAGGTCCTCCGGCGGTATAATCAACTTGTTCCGGTGGCCGCTGTTCGGCAGCGGGCCTTCCTCATCGGCAGCCCCTTTCCCTCCTCTAGAAATCTGAGCGTTTGTTTGCAAGGGCGGGACTTACGCCGACGTATCTACATGTAGGAAGGGAGCTGTATCGTCGAGAAAGCACTCCTCCCCGCCCCCTCTTACTCTTACAACTGTGGGCGTTGTTTTCAAGGACGCGACTCATGTCGCCAACTCCCATGTAGTGGTCAAGTTTTTATGGTTTTGTCACAGAGTTGAGGCAGGCAGTCCGTGTCGACGGCATGAAACGTTGCCTTGAGACGAGGCGGGCGTTGTGAGGTAGGCCCTAAGTTGGATTGTGGGGGTTTGTTTGTGACGTTGATCGGTTGTTTGTCATTGTTGAAACTGCCAGCATTGGGTCAGAGCGGGCCGATCGTCCATGTTCTGGGCTGTTAGCCTGCGTAGCTCTGAGTGAACCCGTGGCCTATTTTGGTGTCTCCCTGGGGCACTTGTACATAGAGTGAGGATCGTTCTTGTGTTGCACTGGGGTTGCGTGTTGTACGACTTGTGGATGTGGGCAATGATAACGGTTAGCTGTCGCACGTTTTGGCAGTCGTGGGATAGATTTCGAACAGTATGTGGTGTGGTGAAGATCACCAGACCGATTTCCTTCCGAGCGCGTTGTTTAGAGTGAGCGTAAAGCTCCGCGCACATTTTGCCTGATGAGGATGGATGATATAATCCAAATGTCGATAGTGTGTTTTGCGTTGGATTTACTACTACTGTAGTGTTAATTGTTCTGTGTGTTGTGTATGAGTGTTGCCGTCTTTTCGTGAGCGAGTTCGAGAAAACTGCGGTGGCTTGCAATAGCTGTACGGAGCGAAGTGAATTTGTTCAAGTTTCTGGTTGGTACACCCAATCATGCCATGCATGTCCCGCACAACATGTACTTCAAGCTACAGCACTCGTCTCGTAATACTCGTGCTTACCGCCGGAGGGCGCTTTGAGCTTGCGCCACAAGGCCTGAAAGGAAAGCCCGCGGTTGTCAAGCGTTTCCTCGTTATTTGCAGTATTTCACGCATTGCCTTGCGTGGTCTGCTACCCAAATCAAGACGTTAATTTTAATTTTTATTTCATTTTGAATCAGCGATCACAGCTCATAGCATTTATGCCGGATATGGGGTTCAACCTGTGGGCGCACAGAAGGGTTCCCCCCGAGCACACAAGGGGATGACGCTTAGAGCTCCAGATTGTGCGTTCAAAGGAGGTGTCAAATCTCCAGACCGTTGGTGGGGAATCAATCCATGAGAAACGAACTCCGACCGACCTGTGCCATCACTCCCGTGTCTTTGGTTTTCATCCTCCAGCGTTGTGGCGTATAAAAGCTCTCAAGACGGTGGGTACAGGCAGACTGAAACCGGACTGCGCTTCTTCTCGGTAGATTGTGAAGGTCGATCATGTCGGCCGATCGATGTGGTACATGACGTGATAGCTCGCGACAGTGGCAATCGATGTGATTCGTCAGCTCCTGGGTTGTTGACCGGTATCGACTACGCAAATCGTGGATTTTCGTCCACCACGTCCGTCCATTGGCAAAATCCAACCGCGTACCTGTCACCGAACCGCCCACACGCCTATATTGACGCGCGATTACAACGACAGACTCGGCTGAAGGCGAAAGCAGAGGCTCATCACCTGCTCGTGCGCACGTTCCACCGTTCGCTACCCCATCTCGTCCTCACAGCTCACCGGTGGAAGAGAAGGCTTATTAGTCACCATCGTCTATGTGTCTTTATGTTCAATCCCTGAGGCCTTCACGAGCATGAAACGTCACGCCACAATCGTCGGTGGTCGTCAACCTAATCTTGCCGCCCACAACACACCTACATACGGACGAGGAAGACGAATCGATGCAGCTGCAGTAGCTCTACTACCGCCTCGCCTTGACACCCCTTTTTTGGCCGACGACGGTTTGCTTGGTGCCAACGCCGCATCTATCGACTGCCCATCCATCAAAGGTTCCTCCGACACGTCGTTGAAGAGGCCGAAGTCGGAGGGAAGCTCGTCCCTCCAGCCGGCCTCGGCAATGAGCCTTTTCTTGACGTCACGGACGGTGTCTTGAAGCCCCAGATCCACCGCGACGGAGGCGGAGGAGCATTCGCTGGGGTCGCACCCCGGTGGACCGACCATGTCGCCGACGCCTATCAGGACCTGTTGACAATGTTGATGGTTTTGGAAAAACATCGCCTATCAGAACGCGTCTTCACGATGTTCTGATGTTGGAAAACCGTTCGGCGGCTAAGAAACCTGAACAAGTTAGGTACGCTGGGAGGACGGACATGAGTACACATTGACTGGAAGGCTCCGCATACCTAGATTTGGATGTACGCCGTGTGTCATCCCGGCGTTTCTGAATCAGGGCTCTACGTCCTCTGGCTTTACTTCCGGAGTGTTCTCCTTCGACAGCTTGCCTTTCTCTTGTTTTCCAGCCTAGCCACCTTTGCCCTCGCTTTCTCAAACTTTCGCTTCTCCTCTTCGTGAGCCTCTCTGTTGAACCTTGCCATCAGCTCTTGGTCCATTGTTTTCTGCTTCATGCTCGTGTAGAGCTCATTCTGCAAGGACATTGGCCACGGTCGACAGCGATCGCGGAAGGGGTGTAAACACCGCTGGTTGAACCAGTACAGTTCTTTATGGGTATATCTCGAATGGGTAGTCTTTCTGTGTGTGTATTTCCTTAGTTCTTTGTACGTCAATGGTTACGATCGCTCGGCGGGAAAGAACTCAGTTGCCTTTCTTTGTTGTCATGCTCGCGAGTTTGTGTTGAATTCGATTCCTGTACCCGAGCTCGAGTGAAATTACCGGTATTCAACAAATGCCCGAAGAAACGAAGAAAAACACGAACCACGTGGAGAGTTTGTATTGCCTGTTCTGCACATACTTGCATCGTGTGACTCCCAAGCCTGTACGTTAAGTCGAGCTTGATACGAGTTTCAGCATGTAGTGCTATGAAATATGCACAGAAGCATCATCATTGGCATGTATAGTGTCGATTCCGGAAACCTGCTCTCAGCATTCCGCTATGCCGCCACCAATCATTCACTGCTCGACCAACGCAGAACCAAGTATGTGAACCTGTCGCCCACGATGCACCACACGCGCGCATCTCCGGGAGATGCATACTGTAGGCAAACAGAGTGGCGGTCAGGCCGAAAACGAAGTGGATCTCACCTTGAATAGGATCTGGTTCGCCGTGCTAGCGACGCTGTTTGCGCCGGTCGCGGCCGGTGTACCGGCCGCCAACGCAGGTACGGCATTAACCGGGGCGGCATCTTTGACCACGGGAGCCGAGGCGCTTGCATCTGTCGACATGGCAACCAACACGCGTGTCCGTCCCTTGTGAAGGGGTAGCGTCCGCAACGTCGGCAGGATCTTCGGAGAACATCCCGACAAGCCAACCGACAACAAATACGCCGCATCGCTGGTGGTCACTCGGCAAGCCAATAACATTTCAGTGGATAGGCTTAAAAATACTCGAAATAAGCCCTGTACCCAGTGTGACCCTGGATGGTTGTAGTTGTAGTTGTAAGAAAAAATACACGGAAAAAGTGTTCTGTAGGTACTCTACATAGACTACACTGAGAAGTGTAGTAAACGTCTCACCACGAAAAATGGGGGACTGTCGCCATAATAAATACATAAAGGACCAAAACGCACACACGACCCAGATGCCAATAGCAATAAACGCACACCCAGCCGGTTTCCCTCCATTCACTGCACAGACTCCAACACATCCCATTCGACTGCTGTGGTTATATCTCGAACCTGTAGTATTTCTGTGTAATTTTGCTAGTATGTCTATCCGTAGGAGCCCTGTAGGATGGCACTCCGCCGGAACACATGGGTAACCCGATTGTTTTTCCCGGACCCTGGAAGGGTCGGGCAGGGTCTGTATGCTGCAGACAAGGTAGCTGTAACAACACGGTCCTCGCGTTCGCATTCTTTTTGTGCTCACTTGGTTCGGTCAGTCTCTCGTCCGTGCGTCCTGTCATTTCCCCTTCAACAGCATATTTCTAGTACCCCGAGCATTCGGCATTGATTTAGAACTGGACATGTGTGAAACCGTCGCTCTGTGACTTTTTTTCGGAATCCACACCACGGAGACGGCTAAATAGCAGCTTGGCGTGTTCCATGCCACCCTTTCTGTCGCTCACACGATCCTTAGTAGGGAACACGCGCGCAATACGGAATATAAACAGCTGAAGAATCATAGCCGCCGGGATCCATTCATTCGGATTGAATGGTGGTACGCTCGTTCGCATCGCCCAGGGGAGAAGGTCGGAATGAATGGCGGACACGGTTGACATAGTTTCCGAGCGCGCGCGATCACACCTTAGAGCCTTTCGTTGCGAACTAGAGCTTAATAGCTTCAATCGAAAATCTGTCGATTAGCTTGCGTAGGTACAGATGCAACGCCGCTGGAAACTATCTGCGGGTATAGATACATGATGTTTACCATTCAAGAACGACAGAAAATGGCCTTGTGTTCTTCCTCCACACCACCGGCAAATGCGAAGTCGAACTTCATTCTCACCGTCGGTGCGGTCGATTCAATGAAAGCGAGTTGCGCTGTTCGCTTCTTTTCCCGCCGACTTGACCCAAGATTGCTTGCAGGAAGGCACGAGCGCCACCAACAATTCCAACCGCGCTGTCCGACGCCAACTTACACCACTCAGCCTGGTACCCGTTGAGGGTGGTCCGCAGCAGTATTGCCTCAAGGAAAAAGACGTCAAGAAATGAGTGAACTCTTAGCCCACACACTCAAGAGGTGCCTGAAGCCCAAAACACGAAAGAAACGTACACCGAAAAAAAGGGCCGTGATACCCAACATTAAGCCCAAACGAAAACGGTGACGCGATGATCGACCGAAGTCCACCCCAGGCCGTTAAAACTATAGTCCGAACCGCCTTCAACAACGAATACCCCTGAAGTAGTGAAAGAAACGCGGAGGTTTCAAGTCTACGCCCCAATACTTCCCCGACTCTGCCGTCGTTACCACCGTGTGCCGCCGCCACCCCAAACGAGAGACTACATGATCGCCCTCCCTGCTGCTTCTAGGGAAGCACGCCAGTTACGCGCCTCCCCTGCCCTTCATCATCTTTACTCCGGGCCTCTGCCCGCGCCCCCCACCTCCCATCATTCCCGCCATCCCCTGTCCCCCCATCCCTGCGCTGATCGGGCCTCCCCGGCCCAGCCCAACGCCCTGGCTCGGAGCCCCCTGCTTTTCGCTCTGCGTGTTGAACCGGTTTGGTGTGCAAAGCAAGGACACAACGGTGGTGTTAGGGGTGGGCGCAATGCGATGTAAGGAGAGGTGCTGCCAGAGGAACGGTGTACATGTCAAAACCGTGTGTGATTGTTGGCGCGGACACCAGCCAAGCGTGTTCTTGTAGAGTAAACTACAATCTCCCAGCACTTGCTCTGTTGCATCGTCCGTTGCACTGACGAACTTTCCATGCGTGGCTAGTGTAAGGCCTACAAACAGAATCCGCCAGGGTAGTCTACCGCTATGCATACAGTCAAACAAGCAACCAACAGCAACAACGAGAACTTACTGTACAGGAAGAGGCGCACAAGACAAGCAGGGGGAGGGGGCACACTAACGACAGCTTGACCACGATTCCGTCGAGCATGGTTCGGAACATATAGGTTCCATCTAGCCGACACAAACGCTCGGAAACAAATGAGCTAAACACATCACAACCAACAAAAACAAGAAGAGAGAACAGACCTGAGGGTTCTTGACGGTTTCGTCGATGGACAGGATAAGGCAAGCGGCCTCCGTTGCCGACCGCAGCGAGTTTCGCTTGTTGATCGTCGGCTCCCACACGCCAGACTCGAAGGTGTCGCACACACCTGCGAAAATAATAAAAAAAATCAAACATGGTGCCATACGAACGCCGGCCCGCAGGTGAATTACCAAGAGTATATTGCTTCAGCAATGTAAAAAACTCCTGAAAACCATCCAAACCTCACGAGCAAAACGAAAGCAACAACTTTTTTATAAGAGAACACGACCAGACCAGCGGCACGGGATATAACAACAAGAAAAAATCAAGTACAGGATGACGAAGCGACAACAAAATACGCTGGCTGGAGAATACAATGATCTGTTGACGTTCTTACCCTCCGTGTCGACGTCGACTCCGAACCACTTGCCCGCGTCGCCACCCCTGGCGTGCTTCTGTCGGAGACGGTTCAACAAGTCCGTCGCGTCAAACCCGGCATTGTCCGCCTGGAGAGAAAAAAAATAAATAATGGACGACAAGATTAGAGAGGAGGTGAGACAGCACTAAAAGAAGAAAATGCGCTGCTCGGGATTTGATCGAAAGGCAACTTCAGCAGGACGAAGCACGAAGCTATCAGTAAGTTAAATGCCTCTGATATATAAAAAGTGTTTTCTTTACACTAAATACAGTATACCGCCAACCGCATCAACAGCAAAATACGGCACCTGCCGACGTTACACCGAAACCATCCGGTCCTAAACCCCGTCCAATGCGCGGAGCCCCCCATCGATCTCACAATCACGTGGGAATTGCCTCGAAAACCCGGGCCAACAAATCACGTGACCAACACCAAGATTGCCGTGTACAACCAACTCGAACAACCAATCACAGCAGTGCTCAGAGAACATCTCACCGCTCCTTGAAGTACATGTGTACCACCACACCGTGCTCTCTCGAACCACAAACACCCCCACCACTTTATTTTCTTGCGAAAGTATTTCGCTGTATTCCAATACTTGAACGAATAACACATAAACACAATAATCCATTGCCATCCATAGAACGGTTCGGTGATTTTCGCGGCGGCCCTCTGGTCCGCCCACGCACCAGCTGCCTGGGGATGATCTCCAACGCCTTCGCGTAAGAGCTCATGATTAGCTGCTGCTTCCCCTTGATGGTCTTGGAGTGGTCGCGGAGAGCCTTGGAAAGCTCCATCTCGATGGCACCCCCTCCGGCCACGACCTGCGGCACGGGACGGTATGGAAACGGAACAGAACGGCGGGACGGCGCGGTGGGAGGAAAAGGAAGGGGACGGAACGGAACGGAACGGAACGGAACGGAACGGAACGGAACGGAACGGAACGGGACGCAAACAAAAATTGGCCTCAGTACGAACGATCCGCATGGCGGAAAGGCCTCAATAGTCAAGGAATTTACCGTCTGGTATGGTCATACAGCAGACGTGCTACTGTACCCTCGTGATGAAACGATGCACACTTCTTTGAGTAATACATGCCGGGTGGTCGCCCATTCGAGAAACAAAGGTACTATGCGATAACTCCAACATTCGCAAGCCTCTTGACCTCTACATGTTGACTGATCGCCAATTCCGAGACACAAAATGTGATTGTGATATATACTCCGAGTTTCCGCCCACGGTATCAACCCCCAGCGGAAACCTCTTGCAACGAACGGGCCACATCCGTGGATTTTCATCTCATTCCCAATTCACGCAGGGAAACGGAGAACGCATGGCTTCCCTACCATGGTGGTCACCCCAAGCCAACACCGTACCGTACCGTACCTCGCGGTTCTTGAGGCAGCGCTTGACGATCATGAGCGAGTCGTGGATGCTTCTGTGAGACTCCTCCATGAACTGTTCGATGTTGAACGGCAACACCAAGGACGGGAGGCCAAGGTACGCGGCGAGGTCAAAGATAAGGAGAAGGGGCTAAGAGAAGCATAGGGGTAGAGTGAGAGGACGGACCAAGGAAAGCAACGAGAATCAGCGACAAAAACACACACACACACACACATCACGGATCGATCAAGCAATGTAGGTCACTGCTGTGAGGAACGGAGCGGCTAAGAAACAGTCACATGCGAATGGGGAGGGTATGTTATCTTTCATCACACGACACTCATACTGACACAAACAAAATGTTGGGGTTTCATAGCAGGCGGACATGCTCTATTCCCCACATCAACGCCGATTTCGAATCTTCGACTATTGACCTGCACCGCAAGATAACCAAACAACGCAGCAGCACAACCACCACCGACGCTAACGCCAACAACACCCAACACCCACCGATAGCAGCAACAGCGACAGCAACACCCGCATCACACAACGAGTGTTCTCGTACCTGCTCCGAGCCACCCCTGAGGACTATGGTTGCCGTTCGCGCCTCGGGGCAGCCGGTGAACAGGTTCCACCGTTCGTTTCCTAGCTGCGTCTCCTCGAACCTCTCGCAGTGTCCAACCACATCGGCCGTGATCCCGTGGATGGACGTCTGCACCTTTCCTCCCGTTGCCTGGTCCGAGGGCAGCAGGGTCGACCAGAGACAAGCGCAAGCAAGAGTACGAGAGCACACAAAGGACAGCGTGAGTCGTTAATTGCCCCAGCGTCAAACGCCCCGAATGAAAAAGAAACAATTACCTGTAGCCAAGTATGTCTTCTAGGGCTATTTCGGGCATCTTCCAAATTGGCACAGGTAAAGGTAAAGGTAAAGGTAAACAGTACTGTACTGTACTACCAAAGATGGCGGCGACAGACTGAGCGTGTTCTCCTCTGGTGGGCCTGTGTGAAGATAGAAAGTCAGGAGACGGCCAAAAACAAAACACCCGACAATTCTAACGCACCCAACGGCCAATCAATCAAAACAAATGACACAAGATGCGCACCTTTCTTGCGCGTATGCACAGCTGCCGCAACACTGCTACTGCTGCTGAACCAACAAGCCGTCTGTGTTGTTGACTATCAACTCCTCCTCCTCAAGAACCTCAAACCCTCTTCACCACCATACTCACAGCCCTCCTCTCTCACCTTAGCCACCCTCTCCATGTCGTCCTGCGCCACGCGGCCGGCACAGAACAGGTTGCGGTCCGCGAAGAACTGCGTGGCCAAGTCTCCCACCGGTAGCTTGGAGAGGATGATCTTCGCCCCGCTCGCCACGCACCTGCACAAATCGGTCCATCACGTACGGCATATGCATACGGTCGGCAGCAGCGAGGTGGCACCGTGGCAGTAAGCGGGGGGGGGGGAGGAGGGGGGGGGGCACCGTGTGTGAGGATCACGTCCGGAATGCGATGGTACGCCGACAGAGACGAGGACACCCTTTGTTCGAGGCGATACATGTACTCTCCACATCGGTACAAAGTAATAGTAGCCCCTGTACACGACCGCCTACAGTAGTAGTGTCAAGGGCTAGCCATACACCGATCACCCGCACTCATGAGAGCATTGGATACGACTTGCGTGTGCCCTGTGGGTCACACGATTTCACTAGCCTTACACGGGGCAGCCGGCCGCAATTGTGCAGCCTTAGATGGGGACCAGTACTTCCTGCTGTATCGGTACATAACTGCTTGCGTTGGGATGTATCTTCGCAGCATTATATTGTAGAGTCGTGGTACAATGACACGTGCTATTCCAGAAGTGCGCCAAACGTGAAACACAAACATGCAGCGGCACGGCAACCGCACAGCAATGTGGATCAACTCCGTAGACCGAACGTGAGGCACCAATAGAAGCAACCAGAAAAAGAAAGGTCCTGTACAAGGACCTTCAGTCCACTCAAGGCGGCGGAAGAATCAAGGACATGTGTTTTCCCTATTGTTCAAAGAATCCAGGTCATGGAACCGCACAGGGATCCTATCTGCGTGGTCCCGCCCGGTACACACGCCCAGGCACCAGGCAGTGACTGCACCGAAAGTCGCGTACCAAGCTAGGCCTCTACAACAACACATCTCGTGATTACGACATCACAAACGAAAACATCCCGGCTCTCTCACTTCTCGAGTTTGTCGTAGATGATGTTCCATTCTGCATCCACAATCTCCTGGTACATGTCTGGATCGGAGATGCGCACCTCCGCCGATTCCTGCAGCAAGGTAGGGATGCAGGGTTCAATCGATAGGATTTGATCCGAGCGGCAGCGTATGGATAGCGGGAACACCAAAAATGAAAATGACATCGTGGCTATCAGAAAAAAAAAAGGGTGACACGTCAAGGGCAAGAGCATCAGCAGAAAAACAACTGCCAACAACTGCAGCGGCAGCAGCAGCGGCAACAACAACAACAACCACAACAGCACCAACAGCAGCAGCAGCAGCAGCAGCAGTAAGAAACACACCTTCTCGCTCTTGAGCTCGAGCTCGACGTTAAGCAGCAACACGCCCGGGTTGTCAAAGCTCTTGGGCTGCTGCTCAAAGCCGGCGTAGCTGAAGGTCTTCTTGAACGCGACCCCCTTCACCAGGAAACTGTCGGTTACGCTGCCGCCGCCGACCTTCTTCACGCCGATCTGAGAAACAAAAACGCCCCCCAACATACATGGAACACCGATGGTGCAAGGTCAGGCAGGTCCAGCCAGGTGTGACTGGGGACTTGACGCCACGATCTGGTTAGGCTAACGCGCCCGACATAAAAAACACCGAGCTCAAGGATTCAGGTCCATCGGAACCACACAGCACATGGCGGGGGGGCACGTTGTACGGTGATGACTAAATAGACGAGCAAAAATATGGGTGAACGCAAGAGATAAAACAGAAAAAATCATGGCCGAAAAAACGAGGGAATCAGACACCAGATACCCCCGCGTCTGAAAAACTGCTCCAGCCGAAGCAGCAGCTGACGCAGCTGCGGCACCGACACTTCCCAGCGGTCGTCTCTAGAGAACCAAGGCGCGAACTCTACTCACGAGGCTAAGGTCCAACAGCTGCTGGTCCAGGTTGGAGACAGCCTCGACCACCATAGGTGCGAACAGGTCCTTCTGCGAGGAGATGAGCTTCGAGTTCAGAGCCGTACCCGCACACCTGATCAGCACGTCCTTAGCCTGCAACAGACGTACAAGGGGGGCGTACTCATGTCATGCATGCCTTGCTTGTTAGACCAATGGCCGACGGGGGGGTTGCCCATAGCCGCGCATGCCGTAGCCGTTAGACCGTTGACCTCGCATCCCTACAAAGCCGGGACGGATCACGCCGGGTTTTCACCGGACCAGGCTCTCACATCACTGGGCGGGGGGGGGGGGGGGGGTCTGAATGCCTGTATCATGCACGGGCAGGCAGAGATGAACAGCACCATGTACCGGTGTACGGTCGTGGCCTGAAGACTCTAGACTCTCGCTTGCCCGCAGGGTGGTGTGCCCGCTATTCGCCAGATCGGCATCATGCTGTCACGAGAACGACGTAGGGATCGTGATCAGTCGTTTGCACCTTGTTTGCATCTTGCTGCACCGATACGACTATCCTTGGGGCGGAGGGGGGCACGAAACGTCTCCAACTGATTTTCTTGTTTGTAGCTGACAAACACCGGGGAGATCTCGAGATATGTGCTCACCTCATCT